AATAAACCATGAAGGTCATTATTAGAAAAGAACTAAAGAAAGTATGACACAGAAAATATGACAAGTGTTAACATTAATTTAGTAATTTATCTGTTCCCACTTTATTGTATTGCAAACTGAATGCTTGGAAACAAGTCAATAAAGAGCAAGATAAATAGAATTTGGGCCATAGGATCACAAATAACCAAAATTGCAGCCATAATTAATTGATGTATAATGAGTTTATTTAAGAACACAATTTATTATTAGAGAAATAGCACACAATTACGTCACAAATATGTCAGCCATGCTAAAATGAATGTGATCCTAAAGGAAAATTTAAACATAATAAACACAGAAACAGAAATCCTCAGATTTAAAATATGACCTAAGTATCTATATTTAAATTTAAAATAATTTTATTTTATTGTTCAAGTTTCCATTTCCTGGGGTAAAATAACTGATATCTATAATTTAAAGAGGAGAGGTTTTAATTAGACACACTGTTTAGGTTTTCGATGCAGAAGAACAAACAAAAGGGAAAAGGCGGCCTTTACCACGGACACTGGCAGGAGAGGACTGCATGGAGCACAGGGCTCCTCCAAGGTAGACAAGCAGGCTGCGGGTTTATGAGGACTCTTCCTAGAGGCTGAGTTTCAGGGGCGGGCTCAGTGATGCCTTAGGAGCTGATTGGGGCTTCCCTTGAGCGTGGGAATAGTAAGAGGAAGTTGTATTCAAGGCTGAGGGGAGAAGAAGAGGGGGGAGTGGTCATTTGGAAGATAGGCTGTTGTTTTTGGGCTTCAGCCATGTTAGACCACCACCATAATGATTCAACAATTCATTCTGGGCAGGAACCTATCACACAGTTTCAGAGTTGTCAGTGCATTGGGGGGTGGCTCAAAGATAAAAATATCATGACAAAAAGGTGTGATTGAGGAACACCGCCCACTTCAGGGTGGTCAGAAGGGGGAGCATGAAGGAATAATGCCAGGGAGATATAATTTTTAAAGGTATGTCCCAGACTGGTCTACGTATTCTCATGGGGCCTCACCTCCTAAAGGCACATTTACTGGAACATCAGGAGATTGATCCAGATTTATCCATTGTACTCACACTACAACCTTGTTCCAATCCCCTCTGCTATGCCATCGTGCCTTAGAACCTGCTGAGCCTATAAGCTGAAACATCCACAAACTGTGAACCAGATCACATCTTTCCTCCTTTACATTGTTCATGGAGTTATTGGGTCTCATTGATGCAATGTAATTAAAGGATATTTTGATACTGAGGAGTGAGGTTGTTGCCACAACTGTACTTGTCCATGTGGTATAGAAGCCATTGTAACTAGCTTGCAGGAAGAGTTTAGAAGGTGTGGAAATGGAAGCTGGAGAAGCAACCCCACAGTGCTGAAGCCATGCTTGATGGGAAATCTTTGTCAAATCTCAGAACACCAGAATGCTGGTAGAAAAGCAGAAGAAAAAGACTAGAGTCAGGTTTCAGCTTGGAAGAAGGACTTCCTTGGTAACCTGACTCAAGGCCATATGTGCTATCCTCTGGCAGAAAACTTGTGTGCATTTTGTTCCTCTCCCAAGTCTTTATAGGAGAATGAGACTAAGAACATTGGACTAATTAATCTGCTGGCAAAATTTCAAGGAACCCATAAGATGTGGTTTGGCTGCTAATAGGTGCTTTTAACTATTTCTACATTGAGAATCAAGAACAAATGGCCTGGTAGAGTGATTTAAAAAGTTTTCAATTTGACCAGAAATTCAATTCTGATAAAGCTGGGCCCTGCAAAGATGGAGAGGAGGAGAGATTGTTTGCTAAAAACATTAACATTAAAAAAGCAAACATTTTATTACAGGACAACAGAAAGTTAGTCCAAGGATATCACAAGAACAAGCAAGTTCCCACCCTTCAAATGCTAAAATTGCAAAAAAAGAAGACTATGTATGAAAAGAATATCCCAAGGCACCATGTTTAAGAGTGGAGGCCTCTTTGGGAATGCATTCCTCAGGACTTAGTTTTTAAGATTCAGCCATGCAGGACTCTCTCTAGCTATGACAGAAGGAAGCCAGCCTAATTCTCTAGCTGTTAGCAAAACTTGTCATTCTTGTATTGGTGCTACTTTGAGAGGAGGTAGAATGAAAGAGTTGTGGGGTCAGGAATATTTCCACTTTGATTTTATAAGAAAACCAAGGATATCAGGCTGTGTGCTGCCATGATGGCAGTGTGTAAAATGGTAAGAGTATAGCTCAAGTTCAATGGAGATCCTAAGGTGTAAGAAAAAACCATAAATTTTTAGAAAGTCTGAGGAATTTTACAAAGTGAGCAAAAGCCCAGGAGAAATATCATGAGGGATGATTAAATCCTCTAGAATTCAAATCTACCCACTGCTTGCCCTCTCCACCCCACACTGAACATGGAACTACAGGATTTAATGTTTGAGCTCCTGGGTTTCAGTCTTGCTTTGATCCCATTCTTTTCATCCTCGTATTTCTCTCTTTTACAATGGGGAATTTTATTTTGTGCAATTCCATGTTGGAAGTATTTAACTTTCTTTTCATTTTAGTGTTTCATAGCTTAGAGTTTACCTCAAATCTCAAACGAGGCTTTGACTTTCCAGCTATGCTAATACTTTTAGGACTTTGACCACTCTGAGAGGTGGACTAAACACATTTTGTACAAAGGTGTTATGGCTTATATCAAGATAATTCCCCAAAGACTCATGCCCTCATTGGTGAGGCTTTTGGAAGGTGATAACAGGGTCCATGGTATTGATTAATAGATTAGTGCACTGATGAGTTTATAGCTAAATGTGATTTGGAAGGTAATGTCTGATCGAAGGAATTGGTCACTTGTGGCATGGCCTGGAAGGTACATCTCCCTCTTTTCTCCCTTGATCTCTCTCTTTGCTTCCTGCCACCATGCCATAAGTTGTTTCACCTCTGTCAGTATGCCTGTGCCATGCCAACCTGCCTAGGAGCCAGCTGACTGTGGACTGAGAGCACTACAAATTGTGAGAAAAAATAACTTTTCTCCTCACAGTTTTGCGTGTTATGTATTATCCGGTGACTAGAGAAGTAATTATGACACTAATTTTATATATTAATTAGCTCTGTTGTTACCAGTACAAATACCTATCATTGGCAATTTAAAGGAGGAAAGGTTTAGTTTGGTACTTGGTTCCAGCCCATGATTGGCTTCTTATTTTACAATGGTCACAATGCAACAAACAGGGGAGGAACACCAAAGAGAAATATATTTTCAAAAGGCTATCCTCCAGTGATCCATCCAAATATTAATTACAAGTATCAGAGGTTAGTCCAGGGATGAGTACATTGCCCTAAAAAATTAGTTTATTAATTCAAATCAGTTGAAAATTAAGCTTAATCTTCACATTTGTTACCATTTTTTAAAAAGCATATATTGTTTGATAAAATACATGAAAATCCAGAGATTTTGTTGTAGTTAAAGCAAGGGTGGCATTTTAGAATCTGACAGAACTTATTTCAGAAATTTAAAAATATCTGGAATATTGTTACTCTGTAGGCTTCATTAATTTATGTATGTAAGAAAAAATAAATTATAGAAAATGTTGTGATCAAGGCAGGAAGTAGAGAATTGAAAATATTGCAGAAATGTCTAAGACCATGAAATATTAGCTAGACTAAAAAAAATCTGAAATTAGCTAATTCTTAGATTTTAAAAATTTTATGTTTATTCCTTGAAGATAAAGCTGTCTGTGCAAAAATTATGCAAATACACATAACGGAAGTATATGCATGTGAATCCAGTTTAATCATAAATAAACTGAAAAGAAACAAAGTCATAATGATAATTTGAAATTAATGTAAAACTGTACAAATATGCTAATGCAGTACAACTAAGTGAGAGAAAACTTTAGAAATTCAAACTGATTTTGTGGTAGATATTGTTGGAAGTCCAGGCACAGCCCTTTTTTGGGGAAGATAATTACACAGCTTTCCAGTACTGCCGCTGTGGTAGCAATGTTAATGGTAGAAGATCCCATCTGCAGACCTATAGGAAAGCACCTCAGTCATACTGACCTGTTTACTTGATATTAAATATATTTATATTATTATATAGTTATTGTAAATTATATATTATATTGTTATATAACATTATTTAATTACTCACAAAAATATATGTATACATATAAATGAAAAATTACATTTTAAGCTGTCCCTGGGGGCTGGGGATTTAGCTCAGCAGCCAAAAGCACTTGCCTGGCAAGCACAAGGTCGTGAGTTTGGTTCCTGGTACCGGAGCAAAACCAAAAAAAAAAAAAAAAAAAAAAAGCTGTCCCTGTTTGGTTTCTCCTTCCCTTGTTTCTTTTTAAATTATTTTCCAACCTACTTTTCTTTCTTTTCTTTGTTCATTCTTTCTTTCTTTCATTTTTCATTTTATTTTTAACATATAGAGTGCTTAAAAACTTTTAAGATTGCACTTAGATGATATACAGATATATAAACATCTTCCAGTTTAATGTGAACTTGATTTTTAAGGCAACATTTTAAAAGATAAGAAGATTATATATGTGCATATATATATGTATATAATACATATATACACAGAGAAATCAAAAATATGAAACTAATGCATTTTAATTTTATTTCTAAGAAATTCCTTTTTACATTCTACTATGAGATTCAATCATAAATGCCATTAAATTCATCTGTTGAAAAATATGATCATGATGTCTTTAACAAGATAAAAGATAAGGGGCTGGAGATATAGCTCAGTGGCATAAGCACCTGCAAAGTCCTCAGTTTGATTTCCAGTACCAAAAAAAACAAAAAAAAAAAACCCACAAGGTAAAAGATGAAAAATAAATTGTTTTAATTTATTCCCATGATTTTTCTAATAATTGTAGAATGTACATGTGAGCCAAAGGAGTGCATGGAACATATTAACATTCCTAGAACTGAAAAGAGTTCTGTTTTCCAATAGAGAAGTTTCCATAGAGCTCAAAGGGGTCAATTAACCATAGCCCCAGACATTCAGGAAGACAACAGAATGGCCTAAGAAGACCACTCACCTCTTCAAATCTATCAAACTACCCACATCAAAGGCAGAAAGAGACTTTAGTTTCCTCTATCTCCAAAGTCAGAAGACAATAAAGTGGTGTTTGGAAGGAGGTACCTGACCACACCAAGACCCAGACCAGCCAGCCCCGGGCACAGGGAAGCACAAATACCTTTACTTAACAGAGTAATCAGCAGCAGCAGCAACACGGAATTGTCTGAAGCATTAGTGAGAAGCCAGGAGTTGGGCGCTGGAGAACTCCACTAACAGAAGGCCAGTCCCAATTCCCACATCCACAGGCCAAGATCAGCTTCATACCGAGCACAATCTCCATGGCAAACTTGGCTGTAGTACACAGCACATTTTTGGCATCAGTCATGGTCACTATCACAGAGTGTAATCACCAGAGGTATTTCACTACTTTTATTCTCCCTTGTTTGACTGATTGGCTGTCTTTTTCCTGTCTGGTTGGATGTCAACTTGTTTTGTTTTGTATTTTGTGGTTAATTTTTTTTTTCTTTTTTCTCTTTTCCTTTTTCTGGTCTCCTTTCTGTTTTCTTCTCTTCCTTTTCATTTTCCTACTCCTCTTTCTTCTTTATTTTTTCACTGTTTAGGTTTCTTACCTTTCTTTTTTGTTTTCTTCTAGTGATCCTCTTTCTATCTTTCCTCAGCTACTTCTGGAATTTAAATTTTCATTGTAATCATTGTCCCTTCCATCTGATTGCTCCTTTGCATTCTATTTCATTCTTTCCTTCCTGTTCTCTAGTTTTCCAAAATTCAGCTGATCACCCTTTGACCTTCAACCTTGATTCTACAACCTATATGCCCTCTGTTTCGCATGCAACCATTCCTAATTGGATTTATCTTAGCAATTTCTTTACTATTAAATCTTATGTTGATTCCATAATCTTTCATATAAACTTCAGTTCATTATCTCAGACTTGTTAATAGAGAAGGCGACATAAAAATTTACCTTGAAGTACTGTATATTCCCACTATTTTAATATCAAAATATCTCAAAGATTGCCAATTGAGCCATGCATGGTGGCTCTCACTTGTAATTCCAGCACTCTGGAGGCTGAGGCAGGAGGATCTTTGGGAGTTCGAGGCCAGTCTGGGCTACAAAGTGAACTCAAGGCCAGCCTGAACTGCATGGCAAGGCCCTGTCTCAAAAAGACAAAAAAAAAAAAAAAAATTGCCATTTGCAACAGTTCTCAAACTATTATGCATCAGAAACTACTTAAGGGCTTGTTAAAATAGATTGTTAGGTTCTGATCCTGAAGTGACTGACTTGGTAACTGCAAGAAGGGGTAGAAAGTATATTTCTAGCAATGTTACTAGGTGAATCCATTTTTTCTGGTACAGCAAACTCTGTGAATTTGGAGCCAGTGAATGATTTTCAGGTATCTCTGTCTCTTGCTGTCTCACTCTTCTATCACCTCTGTCCCCAAACCCATAGCACCTAAATGAGGGCTTCTTTATGTGGCTGAATCAAAATCTAGGAAGACAAGGTACGGAACTCAAATTGTGGAGTGTACATAGTACACAGATGAATACAAACCGTGTCACTTCAAGTGACTGACACTTACAGGTTGTTTGTCTCTGTATCATGCATGGGGACTGGAGATTTAGTTGGATATTTACTTAGCATCCATGAAGGTCTATGTTTAATTTTCAGCACCACCATCACTATCAACAAAAAGTCCTTTCTTCTACAACACATATATCCAATTCTTCTACAACACATAATCCAATTTCACTGATAATTTTCCTTCACAAATTTTAATTTTTAGTACTTTATTTAATAAATATTTGAATAAGTAGGAGAAAGTAATCTTTCTTTTTGTTGAATAAATGTCCTATAACAAGATCTGCAGCCATTTCTTTGTATTAGCTACTTAAAATTGCTTAATACTGAACTTTGAAAATGTATAGGAAATAAGGTAATAATTATGGAAATTAAATTTATCATTCAAAATTGATAAAATGTACTTACTAATATTCTGTAGTCTAATTTTCACAAGTAAATGAGTTTGTAAACTGTATTGTGACGGGATGAAAATTGTTTAGCAGAAAAAATGATTGAAAGTAGAACAAAAATATTAAAAATGTCATACTCACCACATATAAGAAATAAATGCCTGAAATTGTGTTTTCCAGATATGTGAATTTTAATTGATAAATTAAATTAATATTAAGATTAAGGAAGAGTATTCTATATTTCCTCATATCATGATTTATTAGAGAAAATATTTCCCATAAATAACATATTCATATTCCTAAAAGAAGCTTTTTAAAATACTAAGGGGAATGTTTATTATTTTTCTCTGAAGCCAGAACTTTTTAATTTTAGAAATAGAAGATGAAGGATTGTTCATATCTTGTATGTTCTGTATTGACACTGGGATATTAGTACTGGAATCATTTGAGTTACTATAGAGAAAAGCACCTTTAAACCAATTTTATTTGACATATTTTGAAAAATTAAATTATACAGATGAATCAGATTAGTATGTCTTAAATATCCGCCAATTTCTTCCAAGATTATATCAGCACTAGGCGATCATTCAATTCTCAAAGATTAAAGTACAGAGAATTACAAATTGAAAAGATAAAACAATTTTTCATTGTTATAGCTATCTTATTAAAGTACAACAAAGTGGATATCAAATCCAGTGTCTGTTGTAGTAAGTAGAACATTTGATTTTATTCTCAGCAATGAATTCATTCAATGGTTTTATGTTTATTAAATGAATTCTTAAAATAATTCGTCTGTAAAATTTATTCTTTTTCAAAAACACAAACTGACATTAAAATATCTTTTCAAACTGTTTATGCGACCTAATATATATCACTTAGCCAATAAATTTAGCAAGATAAAAATGTCTTTTGCCATGAAATATCTTTCTTGAAATAATATTTGAACACAAGACCATACTCATAAATGAAATAAATCAGACCCACACATGTAAACATCATATTCTCTTACTAGTGTGAGAAGCTAAAAGAGTAAATACATTCAAAAGGTACAATAGATGTTGTAAATTGGGAAGAAACTGTTCAAAAGGAAAGTGAAAATGTGATATGGGAAAGGAAAAAGAAAGGAAGGGAAAAGGAAAAAAAAATATTTACATATATAAGATAGTTAAGATAGTTATATAGCTAGTTTCTCTTAGTTCATTGAAAAGACAGATTTGTGCTACTATTGTTTGACCAATACTTCATGAGTATATCTTGTACTCTGAGTAACCACCATGATAATAACAATATACAATGTATTAAATAGTGTTACTCTTCTATTATATTGTTTTGAAAGTCTTTTTTTAAAAAATTTTTCTCCTTAAGTAATAAAAAAAAATTAAGTCTTCAAAAAAAAGGAAGAATTAAGGTCACTTTGAAAGTTTGGAGTTTCTTATTATTCACTATATAATTTTCAAGGAAAGGAGCAGGTCTAGCTAAATTACTATCTTATTTTTGAGGATTTTTTATTCACAGTTTTAAGCTGAGGAAATATTTGTAAAATTTATTTGTCATTTTCCATTACCAACCTTCTATAAATGATGAATTATTTGGTGTAAAGTACTATCATAAAATTTATAAAAAATGAAAACTATATTCAGTACACAAGCCATTTACAAATGTCACAAAAGATTATGTTTTATTTCTTTGTATGTAGAATTTGAATTTCTGGGATTTTTGTTGTTTTGGCTTCTGAATTATTTTCAGCCATCTATCAATTATTTTCTCAAACCTTTAACCGGTTATATATATTCTGCAGAGCAATTATCCCTTACACATTTTTCTAACAAAATTATATATGTGTGATATAGATGTAGTGAATATAAGGATTTTATGTTCTTATTTCTTATGTATCTAGAAAGTTTCACCTTTTAACACTTAACAGTTTTACTTCACATCTCACTTTATTAACATTTGAGATCACATCCTCATTTACAAATTTGGAATGAGAAAAACCCTAATCTTCTAATGAAGCTAGCACTTCTAGCAAATGAAACTGAGAAAATGTATGATCAGTGCAGTAATATCCAATAAAACATTATCTCAAATAAAATTTTCTGAATTTACCTGATGTTTACAAAAATCATGAAATATCAAGAACGAACAGAAAATACTTTTAGCTACATACAATATTAAAAAACATTAATAATGGTTGTACATGTAACTTAATAGTGGTTGTACATATAACATCAATTCTGTAATATAGAGATATTGTTAATTTATAAATGTAAATAAAGAGCTATTTCTTTTTTTAATACTTATTAATTTTTAAGATAAATCAAATAAACATAGGTTTCTAAGCGTATATTTAGCTTTTCATTTATGCTGTCCTCTTCTATTGAAATTTAATAAAACGTAGATTATATACATGAAATTATGCATTTTTATGTTTATATTAATACAGGAATAGTTTAAGAAAAGATTCAGTATAGTGCTTGGGATCAAAAATAGGCACTAAAAAGTGCCAAGTAATTGTTCTACCACTGAGCTACAGCCTCAGTTCAACTTAAGAAAATAATATGACAAAGGTATCAAGAACACACATTTGAATAAGTATAGTCTTCAGTAAATGCTGCCAGAAAAATCTGAGATCCACATGCAGAATAATGAAATAGACTTCTATATCTCAAGATTTGTATAAATTAGCTCAAGATGAATTAAAAATTAAATATTAAGTTGTGAAACTATGAAACACTAAAAGTAAATGTAAAGGAAATGTCATGACATTGGACTAGGCAAAGATTTTTATGGATAAGACCCAAAAAATGTAGGAAAAAAAGAAAATTACTCAGATAATATCAAATTTTTAATAATCTGTAAAGCCAAAAAAGGTTTCAAAAGACACCAAACAGAAAGAAAAAAATTTATACATTTTATAAGGGATTCATATCCAGAATATAAAAGGAACTTTAAACATTCAATAGCAAAATGTCAACATGTCTTCAAAACAAGCCATAGACATTTTGACACATCTTAAAACAAGAAATACATGTGGCCAACATGTATATGAATGCAGTGCTATACATCACTAGTCGTAGAGAAAACCAAAATGACTATTGAAAAGGGCAAAATACAACGTGTTATAAAAATACAGAGAAAGAGGAATGATTGTAGACTGTCAATCATAATGTAAATTAACAGTTTTCATAGAAAAAATTATTGTCATTCCTTAAAATTAAAACTGACATATGATGCAACAATTTTTCTACTGTGCATAAAATCAAAGAAAATGAAACCAAAATATAGTAGTATCTGCACTCTCATGTTCATTGGAATACTATTTAATGTAGTCATGTAGTAGAAACAACTGAAATGCCCAAAAATTTGCAAAGAAAATTTTGGGATATTTACATAATGAAATGCTATTCAACCATCAAATGAATGAAGCCC